TGGGGTGAGAGAAGGCTGAGAGCATATCAGCTTTATTCTACTTCCTATTTGTAGCTCTGATGTTTTCAGAGATTGGTGAATTCTCAAATTGGACATACCATCAACTACAAGTAATAGGTGTGCTAAACAAGGCACCCAATTTTTGTCAGATCTCATTATTCATTCTATTCATATTGATCTCAAAATTGCTTCCATGTAACTGCCAGCCACCCTTATGGCAGAAAGTGAAGAAGAACTAAAGAGCCTCTTGTTGAAAGTGAAAGAGGAGAGGGAAAAAGTTGGCTTAAAGCTCAACATTCAGAAAACTAAGATCATGGCATCCAGTCCTGTCACTTCATGGCAAATAGATGGGGAAACAGTGGAAACAGTGGCAGACTTTACTTTTTTGGGTTCCAAAATCACTGCAGATGGTGATTGCAGCCGTGAAATTAAAAGACGCTTACTCCTTGGAAGGAAAGTTATGACCAACCTAGGCAGCATATTAAAAAGCAGAGACATTACTTTGTCAACAAAGGTCCGTCTAGTCAAGGCTATGGTTTTTCCAGTGCTCATGTATGGATGTGAGAGTTGAACTATAAAGAAAGCTGAGTGCCGAAGAATTGATGCTTTTTAAAAATATATATATTTATTTACTTTAATTGGAGGCTAATTACTTTACAATATTGTGGTGGTTTTGCCATACATTGACATGAATCTGCCATGGGTGTACATGTGTCCCCAACCCCAAACCCCCTCCCACCTCCCTCCCCATCCCATCCCTCTGGGTCATCCCAGTGCACCAGCCCCGAGCACCCTGTCTCATGCATCGAACCTGGACTGGCGATTCGTTTCACATATGATAATATACATGTTTCAATGCCATTCTCCCAAATCATCCCACCCTCGCCCTCTCCCACAGAGTCCCAAAGACTGTTCTATACATCTGTCTCTTTCACTGTCTCGCATATAGAGTTATCGTTACCATCTTTCTAAATTCCACATATATGCGTTAGTATACTGTATTGGTCTTTATCTTTCTGGCTTACTTCACTCTGTATAATAGGCTCCAGTTTCATCCACCTCATTAGAACGAATTCAAATGTATTCCTTTTAATGGCTGAGTAATACTACACGGTGTACATGCGCCACAGCTTCCTTATCCACTCGTCTGCCGATGGTGACCAGGTGCTTGGTGAGCGCAGCGCCCCCAGTCTGAGGCTGCGTCCTATCGCCTCCCCCGTCCCAGCTGCCGTTGGTGATGGACAGGGAGGTCTGGCATGCTGCAGTTCATGGGGTCGCAAAGAGTCAGACACGACTGAGCGACTGAACTGAACTGAACTGCCAGCCATTGGTTCTGATTCTTCCTGAAGTAACATAAAATAACCCTTTTTCTTTTCTATACTATTGCTGTTTGTTGTTCAGTCTCTCGATCATGTTCGACTCTTTCCAAGCCCATGGACTGCAGCATGCCAGGCTTCCCTGTCCTTCAACATCTCCCAGAGTTTGCTCAAACTCATGTCCATTGAGTTGGTGATGCTATCTCACCATCTCATCCTCTATTGTCCCTTTCTCCTCCTGCCTTCAATCTTGCCCAGCATCAGTCTTTTCCACTGAGTCAGTTCTTCACATCAGGTGGCCAAAGTATCGGAGCTTCAGCCTCAGCATCAGTCCCTCCAGTGAATATTCAGGATTGATTTCCTTTAGGATTGACTGGTTTGATCTCCTTGCAGTCCAAGGGACTGTCAAAAATCTTCTCCAACGCCCCATTTCTATTTGACATTTTCTATGATTCATGAAATTTCACTACAGGCTATGCAATAGTTTGATGTGTTTTTTTCTGAAATCATTGTGTGTTTACACATTTATATTATAGTGTTAGTGTTAGTTGCTCAGTCATCTCCGATGCTTTGCAACCCCATGGACTGTAGCCCACCAGTCTCCTTGGCCATGGGATTTTCCAGTCAAGAATAGTGGAGTGGATTGCCATTCATTTCTTCAGGGGATCTTCCCAACCCAGGGATCGAGCTCCAGTCTCCTGCACTGCCCACAGATTCTTTACTGTCTGAATGAAGGAAGCCCCTATTTTATAGTAGAGGGTGTAAAACTATTTCTTAAAGATCAAAGCTACTTCTTCTTGAGATCTAAAATTAAACATTTAAACTATTTTCAAATTAGTGATATTTAAATCACAGCATCTTTGTGTCATTGTAAAATATTTGGGAATTAGTGAATAGTGATTACATATTAAAGAAATTTGAGAAATTGAGACTGTAATAGATCCTGTAGTTGTGGTTATAAAGAAATATCTTGACCTAACTGAATATAAAGTATATCTTTAGGGCATTAGAATTCTTAAGAAATTCTACAGAGAATATACAGAAATTTATCAGTAATTCCTTTGGAATGTGTGAGAGAGAGGGTATATGTCACTGGGGTGATGAGAGATGTTTTGATGAAAGCCAGTGGAATATTTCCTAAAGAATTTCATTTTAAAAGAAAAGAAAAAGACCATAATGCAGTTAACATATTGCATGCCTGTCGGCATTTTACTCTTAAAGCACTCTCCACACAAGAGTAATTTTAATAATTAGGACTGTCATTATGCTACCGCTGACAACTTCCAAATGTCTACAGGGAACCCAAGGTCAGGGTGTGTGTGTATGTGTGTGTGTGTATGTGTGTACGTCCACTTGGGTACCTTTATCCTCTGCTCTTCAGCAGCATTTAGTCTGGCATAAAATCAGACTTCACTAGTTATGATTAGTCTTAATCCATGAGGGCAAGTGATGGGAAAAGGAAGTAAAATTCTAAGATTAATGCTATTTGAAATTACTCATTTAGTTCATTTTTATTGTTTCTTTATGCCTAAAATTTTTTTTTCTCTTGAATGTGGAGCAAACAGTGTCAAAGATAATTTTATGAATCACTATAATAAAACAAATACCAACAAAAAATCTTTTGCTTTAAGTGTCAGTTCAGACCCTTTAAAGTATCTGTTCCAAACCTTTTTGGCACGAGAGACTGGTTTTGTGGAAGAAGTTTTTCTATGGATGGGGGCAAGGAGTGGGGGATGGTTTGGAGATGATTCAAGCCCCTTGCATCTACTGTGCACTTTGTTTCTGTTATTACATCAGCTCCACATCAGATCATCGGTGCTAGATCCCGGGGGCTGAGGAGCCCTGCTTATGGTCTTGTTTAAGATTCCTTTTAGAGAGGCTGAAAGGACGTTCTAAGGTCCAGAAGGACCAAGGCAGAGGGAAAAACCAAGACCCTCTCACTCCCACCCTCACTGTACTAGAATCACCTGGAAGATATTTTAAAAATACTGATCATGCTCAGAGAGGTTCTGATATTATTAGTCTTGAGATGGAGTTTGGGCACTGGTATTTTTTAATATCTCCTTAGGTGATGCTCACCTTGTAGTCAGGGATTGGACCAACTAGTCTACTTTAGAACATCATAGATGTAAAGCTGCTACTTGGTAGATTCCAAGCTCGAATTGGGCACTTTCATCATGGAGATTCATCTCCCTCTCTCTAACTAGATGTGATGCTTTATTCAGTAACAAAACTATGGTTGTTGGTTAATAAATGGTTCACTTAATACTGTAGCCATTTATCTTATGCCTGGCTACCACTTATCAATAAGACAAAGTGGCTAGTCTGTCTTGCTGAAACTGCTACTCTACCCTTCCCACACTCAAGGCAGGCATTCTTAATAGTCTTCTATTGCCAATTAGCCTAAATAAAGCACTGTGATCTTTCTAAATACAGCATTCAAAGCAGCCATGACTAAAGGGTTAGAGTCGCCATGTGATATGTAATCTTTATAATCTGCCCAAAAGTGAAAGCTCTAGGCATTTCTCAGACATTTGAAATATCTATGTATTAACTGATTACAGTATATATAATAATAAGCTAGGCTTTTTCATTATTTTTTATAAAATGAATGAGAATAAACATTCATAAAATTCTACAGCAAAAAAGTTCAATTGAAAATAGATATTTCTTCATGTGGGTGACATCAGATAATTTAGAGTGAGAGTAAAATACAGAATTCTGGAAAAGCAAGAACAGTATTTTAGTTATATTCAGTTCAGACTAAGGACTATGTTCTTGGGAATGTATGTGATGTAAATTATGATACACAAATAGATATGACAGAAAAGGATAAATTAAGAATATTACATGATTTTGTAGGAATCAGTGAAACAAATGTTTGTTTGGTCCAATCTGAAGTGATCTCTTGTTGATTTATATAGTATCCAACTTATGTAATAGGAGTTGGGCACAAAAGTTCTATGCAAAACATCTGACATAATGATTAAAATACTTTAAATAAAATTATTATTAAAACTCCTACATTTAAATACTGGGAAATATATTTAAAGACAACGCATGCAGAATAAATTTGTGCAGCATACACTTAGAACTTATTTATCATGCTCTTTTTTCTTCCTCTTGTCTCAGAAGAAAGGTGTCTTAGCTTTTTTTTTTTTCACTGTCTTCCTTATTGTACATCAGATTCACTTTGTTTGCACTCTGTTCTTTATATCTCCAAAATTTATGTCCTTAATCAATGAGAAAAAGCTCTTCTTATAATTATACCTGAGGTCATGGTGTTCATGTCCTGGTTCCTTCTTCCAACATGAACGATACCTGTGAATATTGTGAAAGTGAAAGTGTTAGTGCTCCGTTGTGTCTGACTCTTTGCAAACCCATGGACTGTAGCCCACCAGGCTGCTCTGTCCATGGAGTTCTCCAGGCAAGAAAAATGGAGAGTGTAGCCATTCCCTTCTCCAGGGGATCTTCCAGATCCAGGAACTGGACCCGGGTCTCCCACAGGCAGTCTCTTTGTGTGTGTGGGGAACCTCTCTATTATCAGAAAGTATGGTAGTTTCACAAGGCAGCACTGGCTCTCAATGCAGCAATAATTTTCTTGCTACAATCAGTTTCTGTTTAGTTTGTGTGACTTTATTTCATATTTTCAGCACTTTAACATTATTTTTATTTTGCAGAAAGACAGCACTTCCCTCCTTCTATCAAGAAATTGAACTTCACCAACATATCAGGACTCCCCAAAACCATCTGGATTTGCCCTTAGTGGTGTTGTAAAGCTTATGAGGAAATAAGGACAACTTTTAACATAAATCACCCCAGAAACAATTTCATTCAAAGGGTCTGTATATTTTTCTTGGAAAAAATGTAAATATTATTTTAACAATATTTAAAACATAAATGTAATAGTGTAGCAGTGCTAAGAATCCATCTACTATTTAATTTATCAGTTAGTAAAATGTTATCTGATGGCATATGTATCTCTGTATTAGGTTTTAGAGTTTTTCTTTCTATACCTGAGCATATGTCTTTGTATGTATGTTTCTTTTCTCTGCACAGCTCTCTATTGGTTATTTATAAGGATCTTTATGTCCATCTATTTATATCTGTATCTTTGACCTGCTGGGTCCTGCAGTGGACAGAGAGCTCATTTCTCTCTAACTTTCTATATATTCATCTGTTGGACATTGCTTTGTTACCCTTTTTTCATGTCATTATCATTTTTCTTTCTTCTTGTGTATCTTTTTTTGTCTAATTGAAAAATGTTTTGATTTCTATACTTAAATCAGAGCAAGGATATATTGGTTAATTATCTTTCTCTTAGAAACAAAGTAATAAACATCCAACCGGTTCTTTACTCCTCTCCTAAAAGACAATGTAAATTTAGTGACCCTTTTCTTTTGTGTCTTTGTTTTTGTTGTTGTTTTAGTTGCTAATTTGTGTCTGACTCTTTTGCGACCCTATGGACTGTAGTCCACCAGGCTCCTCTGTCCATGGGATTTCCCAGGCAAGAAGACTAGAGTGGGTTGCCATTTCCTTCCCCAGGGATCTTCCTGACTCAGGGATTGAACCCACTTCTCCGGCACTGGCAGGAGAATTCTTTATGGAATCTCACTGAACCATCAGTTCAGTTCAGTTCAGTCACTCAGTCGTGTCCGACTCTTTGCGACCCCATGAACCACAGCACGCCAGGCCTCCCTGTCCATCACCAACTCCCGGAGTTCACCCAAACCCATGTCCATTGAGTCAGTGATGCCATCCAGCCATCTCATCCTCTGTAGTCCCCTTCTCCTCCTGACCTCAATCTTTTCCAGCATCAGAGTCTTTTCAAATGAGTCAGCTCTTTGTATCAGGTAGTCAAAGTATTGGAGTTTCAACTTCAACAACCATCAGTAGGATTTTTTTTCAGAGAGAGAAAATAAAGATTTTCTCACATCCATGACCTAGAAACCGTCCTACGAAAACATAGCAAACCAAAACAAAAACACAAATATAGCCTTGGAATTAAACATTTAAAATATTAGCTTAACTGTTATGCTAGAAAAAACAAACTAAATATATTTCCAGAAAAAATAGTTGTTAATCTGATATAGGTAAATTTCAGATTGTTTTCATTTACATATCTAAGAAGCAACAAATATTTGGCCAATTGTTCCTTCCTTATTTTCTTCTTCTGTTACTGAATGAATGGAGGTAAGAAAGCTATCCTACAGGCTAACAGCCCCTGGAGCATCTTTTAGGTCACAGGTCTGAAAAATTAGTATTTCTGACCTATGTTCCTTCCAAAGTACAGGCTGCAACAAACAAAGTTTATTAGGCATATTTTTCACAAATAACATTTATAAGACTTGTAACCATTTGAAAGTAGATTTAAAACAAATAATAAAATAGTAGGAAAAAAATACAACTAAAGTTTCATTTATCTTTGAACCTGTAGTATAGAAATGCAAATTTTTGGATTTAGTTTTAAATAGAAGTGGATGATTAGTTTAGGCAGTAAACACCTTGAGAGCAGGGGATTGTGTCTGCCTGGTTACTGCTTATTTTCTGATATGTAACACGTATTATCATCAACTCAGTTGAGTAGGTGCTCAATAATTATTTGTTGAACAAATTCAAACATTTGAAAAGCAGTTTTCTTGTTAATCTTCAAGATATCACCTGTAGAAGAATCTTGAAATGGAGTAACAACAGGTCTAATACTTGTGGTTCAGAATAATTGTGGGCAGTATTTAGTTTTCTATTTTGGGACTTTATATATTTTACTACAAAATTAGAATGGATAAGAAGAGGCACATGTAACTATCCATAGCATTACCTTTTCTCACAGAATAGTCTCATCATGTCACAATTAACTTCCCACTGGGATACTTCTTTCAAGTGAGTTTTAACCTTACCAGCATTTTGGTGAAGCTGCAATTGAAATAATTATTGAAATTATTTAAATTTTCACTCTATTTTTCCCCCTCCTTAGTCCTGCCCCTCACTCTTTCTCCTGGAAAACTTTAAACTGCTCTTACTATTATCTGACTGGTTAGGGTGCTTTCCTTGTGGATTTTAATGGATAACTAGGGCTGGAAATCTTGTCTTGCCATGGGAAATCCTACTGTATAAAGTATACATGAGCTGGTATAGTAAAATTGTATTATTATTCTCAAGTACTTATGTAGTTTTAGTTTTGTATTCTTGAAGCTAGGGCTAAAGTAATTTTACCTGTCCATCTGACCCCTTATACTCTGGACATGTCAAATGAGAAACATTTTCCTTAGAATAATGCATCTTTGAGATGATGATGCAGTATATCAGCTGTAGCTGCTAAAAGAGGAGCCAAGACTTCACCTGGCATTGGGAGAGGCCCTCTCAGCAGAACTGAGAGTAAAACACATGGGGGAGAAAACTCTTTTAACAAATTTTGACTTCAGTGTTTCAATAGGAAATAAGGAAGAGGTAATAGGAATTGCATTGAACTTGTAGATCAATTGGAGGGAATGGCCATCTTGAAAATGAATATGGAGCCTTTCAATCCATGAGCATGAAATATGTCTCTATTCATTTTGATCTTTAACTTTCCGATTAATGTTTTGTACTAAGTGTTCAGTTCTTACCCGTTTCCTGTCTAATTGATTCCTACATATTTTATTCCTTTTGATGCTATTGCTGATGAAATTGTTTCTTAATTTCATTTCCTGATTATTCATCACTGGAATATAAAAATGAAATTGATTTTTTTTACTAATTCTCCATCCTTTGTCCTTTTTAAACTTGTTTATTAGTTTTAAGTAGTTTATTGTGGATTGCTTGAGATTTTCTGTATAAAGAATTATGTGTTTGGCAAATGGAGACAGTTTTCCTTCTCTTGGATTTCTGGATTCTTTGTTTATTTACAGCACTGTCTTGAGCCTGCAGACAATGTTAAAGAAGATTTATTTTTGTTGATTCTTGTTTCCCTGTCACAATAAAGAATTGAATTAATTCTGGAAGGTATTTCATATTCTCAAAATTTGATGTTGGGTTTGGACTCAAAATTCAGTTGTGTAATCACATGACTTATGTTCCATATAAACTTACCATAAACTCTCATTCCCTGTGAAACATCCCAGTAACTTTTAAAGGGTTTTTTGTCATAATCACTTCTGATTTTTGTTTCCCACTTCCTCAAAATTCTTGTTTTTTCCTAGTGTCTTGTAAATTTTACTTTGTGGCTTATATTGTAGCTGTCCACTCTTCCTTTGACCTAATCAGTATAAAAATGAATCTTGTTAGTCACTCAGTCATGTCCACTGGCTACTGTTACCATCTTGATGGCCCTTTCTCCCCATTTCAACTCTAGTATATTCATCTAACTCATCCTTTAAATTCATGCTCATCCATTATACAGATAATTTCAGCCCTATCTGTCCCTTCTTCCAAACTTAGTTCCAACCTAAATTTTCCTGTTAAGTGAACTTTACATTGTTTAATTGAGTGAATGTCTGCTGAGTTTATAATCCTTGAAAAAGACTGTGCTCTGAAATATTTGTCTCTTTGTTAAATTGTCCTAGCATTAGTTGGACTACATGTTCACATGGCGGAATTCCATAGAAATAACTCTGATGAGCTTTGTGTACAGTGTTGATGAGGTTGAGTCAGATCAGTTGTAAAATGGAGGTGACTTCACTGTCGAGTTTAATAAGACCTTGTACTAACTTAATATTTTACTTCTCCTCAAAACATCTGAGGGCAACTCAAAAGGAAGTTATACTTGAGGGAGACAGTTTTTAAAATTTACTAAAACTTCAATATTAATGATACATGTTTTAGAGAATAAAAATATAATGTGTCACAACATCACTAGAAGAACTTTATCACTTCTTTAATGTCATTTTCTGAAAATATGCGAAGTTCTATCATTGGTTTGTTTGTAGACAGATCACTACATACAAAATAACTGTTGATTAAGTTTTTATATTTATATTTTAAGTCATCAAGGAAAGAAGGTGAATTCAGAAACATATATTTATTAGAACATGACTTCCCTGACTTAATGTGTGAAAAAGTAATATTTAGTGTTTATTGGTTATGCCTTTATGAATTATTTACTTCCAACCACAACCTTTAACAAAACTTTTTGCTGCATGTGAAAATCCTGCCACATAAACTTAGGGAAGTATAGTGATATAACATTTTAAAGAGAAGATTACATAAGAAACTGAAAAATGTTTTCAGCTTGAGAAATGAGCTCAAAGAGGTAAACAATGAAGATTTGGGAAGGTCAAATGCATATTTTTAATTTTCTCTTAGAATTAACCTAAAGATAAAATCTTCTTATGAAAATTTGTATACACAGAGGCTCATCATTCTTCATTTCAGAGAGACTAGTTAGTTCCAAAATCATTCTCCTAAATAGTTTTACATATTGTATAATTAATTCAGAAAATTATATACCATACAATCATATTCAGAAAATTCACATTTTCTGGAGATTAAAACATACATGATAGAGTTGATTTATATTTGAGAATACTTATAAATGCTGTTTAAATCAGATGTAATTAGGTGTCCATGACATTTAATTATTCTCAGTAATCATCTTTTTTCTCTTTTTTGCATCAAGATGGATTAAAAGAAAAGTAAGAGATGATCTTTTCTTTCTAAATGTTAAGTCTGCCAAACTGAAATAAGTAATGAAAATAGTTGTAGTTAATTAAAATGTTATACTTTGGTTCTTTAAATTCTACTCTTAGATATTTATGTCGCCCATATTATATCCAGTTATATAAATTGAGATTAATTTTATTCAGTGAACTATTTTTCTGATCATTCTATAATAATATGCAAACTTGACAGTAGAAAATATCTTTT